ATAGGTATGTTGCCGTATGACAATGCTGTACCACAGTGGAATTGCAGTAATGTATTTCCACATTGGGATTTTTTATAGATAGCAGCATTAAACAATATGATTGCAGTTATTTATTTATTTGGAGTGTTTATTGTAGTATAGTTGTATTTGTGTATAAATACCAAATTGATTTCTTCTTTTCAAAAAGTGAATACAGCAATATTTTACGGAAAGGGCAATAGGAAGAGTGCGGAGTTAGCTCTTCCATGTGATGAAAGTGAGGATGAGTTAGCCGAATGATAGGGATTAAATGATAGGGATCTACTTATTTTTGGTTTGCATGAGTTCCAACTTTATAAATCTATCACTTTCTAAAATAAATGTGCAAATAAATAAAAAACAAAATCATAATTTTATAGAAAAACTACTTTGTTTTTGTCCATTTTCCTTTGTGGTGTAGCCACCCCCCACCCATTAACACGTTAATTTTGACAGCCCTAATAGTAACATATATGCAGTGGTGGAATGTAACGAAGTACAAATACTTTGTTACTTTACTTAAAGCTGCTGTCCGTAACTTTTTTGGGTTAAAAATTATCCAAAATAATAATAATAAAAAAAAACATAACCAGCCAGTGTTAAAAAATATCTGCTTGCTTTTGCCTGATTCAAAACAGTTAGCTTGTAATAATGATTTTAATTCCAGTGGTACTGGTGGATTTCCGCGGGAAATTCGAGCATGTCTTTGCGTCATTACGTCACATCTGTACACATAAAGAAGGCGTCCCGGCTAGTCGGCTATATTGCGTGAGGATGTTGGAGGTGGACATTTTTAGCCTTTTCTCACAGCATTAAATAATTAAACTTATGGCGGATCCAGAAAGGTTCAAACGACAATCACCAGTGACAACTGGACATTCACCACTTGTAAAACCCCAAATAATTCGGACTTCGGAGTGGGTAACGTTAGAGAAAAAAGAGACTGCAACTGGCCCACGCGAAAACAAGGATAAACATCGGTTCAAAACGGACGCAGAGACGGCTTTTTTTCTTTTAGGACAGGTAAGACATTTCAATAGTTCAATCGTGTAACAGTAGCACACTTGTTCGCTTAATTCACACAGTTACGGAGTTTCCTGTCTTTATTCGTTTAGCTATTATGGTAAATATTTTGTGCTAGCTATGAGAGGGAGCAATTCACCTCTACTCCAAGCAAACCAAACCGGCCTCCTCCGAAATTATATATAGTTTTAAATATGCATTGGATTACAGATACGTGTTTTTTTTTCTTTTCTTTTTTCTGAAAAAGAAAACCAGTAAAGAAACATTAATTTATTGGTATGACAATTAGAAATTAGACTGCACAGAAATAGAAACTGAACTACAGGGTAATCATAATACACATTAAATGTAGTCACAATGCTGATGTTGATAATTTGAGAACAAAGTATAATTTGAAAGGTTTGATGCGATCGTTATATTTAATCAGCACGATTTACTGCAAGGCTTTCCCCCCTTAGTTGATGTGGATGTTACTTACTTGTTCAGATGACATTTTCCGATGAAAATTCGTATGTTGTCATGGTCATACTGTAGGCCTACTTCCAAAAGTAGAATGTGTGATTCTGAATGCCAGTTTCCACATCGGCGCGGTGACTGACAGACTCGCAGTCTCAAAACATTGTGTTCATCCGCGCTGTTTCATGCCGATGTGCAACTCACGCAAAGTTAATAATTCCGCGAATAACTGCAATTACAGATTTCAAACAGAGATGGCGACAAAGAGGAAAAATGCCGGACTGCAGCTTTAAGTACATTTTTCACACCTTTACTTTACTTAAGTAGAATCAATAGTGCATACTTATTACTTTTACTTCGTTACATTTTGCAGCAATTATTATACTTTCTACTCCACTACATTTCTACAACGTTCTGTTACATTTTCGCTACATTTTCTGATCAGTTTTCCCCTGCCAAAACTTCATCCTGACTGTCCGTTCGTCGCACGTTTGTCTCACCAGTGAAGTTTGGTTGCAATATCAACCCGGTCACACTAAATGCGTCTCTATAGCACGCAGTGTGTTTATCGTGCAATTTATACGCAGAAATTTGTTTTTACGTGCATAGGATACGCATGGGTAGGTTTAGTAGTGGTGTGGGGTGCGTGTGTAGCCTATTATACGTTTGGTTAGGATTAGTATGGCAAGCCAAGACGTTCAGAATTACGCCATAAATGAATCGCGTTTACAGCCAAACCCCGTCAAATTAAGCTTGATGTGTATATTGCCTAATTGCAAGCTTGTTCAGAAATGGTGACAAAATCTTAAAAAATAACGGCTTTTCCATCATTATTGAACATCATTATAGGATTATTAGGTTGAATGAGTTAGGATTAACTGTTTTATTAATCATTAGAATATAGACATTAAGAGAATAAATTGTTATGCAAGTACTTTTACTTTTAATACTTAAAGTACATTTAAAATCAGGTACTTTTTACTTTTTACTTAAGTAGGGTTGTCATTGTAGTACTTCTACTTTCACTAAAGTAAATATGTCTCTGGTTATTTGTACTTTTACTTAAGTACTGAGATTCAGTACTTCCTCCACCACTGCATATATGTAACGTTGTTAAAAGCTCAGGGAAGGTGGCGGTGGGAACTGGCAAATGGTGAGCGTAAATTTAATGACAAAATAAGCAAAAACAACAAAACGAAAGTAAAGCGGCAACCCCTCACGGACAACTGCCGCATAAACTAAAACAAAACACCAACATAAAGTCCAGGCCTGGCCCTCTCTCATCTCTCACTGTCGTCACTCCTCCTTTTATCCTTCCGGATCCCTCCTCTGTGAAAATCCAGACCGGTGTGGCGAGCAGGTGATGCTCATTAACACTTGCACCACCGGACATGCTCCGCTCCCACAGCTCTCGGCCCCGCCCTGCTAGCCACAATATACTAACTATTAAACAAATTGTTTTAATAAAGCTTTAGAATTATGAAAAAGTTGTGCAGGAACAATGAAAAAACAGTTTAACATTATGCACTCATCAAATGTACTTGTAGTAAACTTGTGACAGACAGACAGATGCTTCTACCCTGGTTATTGAACAATTGGGTGGCCACTAGCTAGCTACTAGCATAGAAATATGAAAGTCAAACATAAATTTGAGATTTAAAAAACCCTATGAAATCTGACAACTACATGATCACCCCACAGCGTCTATATGCAACCGGTAAGGCGAGCAGATGGAAGAGCACAGGAAAACCAGACATGTGCTCTTAGCCACTAAAAGAGCTAGTTAAAGAAGACAAGGGGGTGGTGGCGGGGCGAACAGGGCACTAGATAAAGCAGCACAGTGCCGTGTGGTTAAACCATAAAGCTCCTCTCTCGAGGACTTCATGAGTGGGGCAAAGTGGGAGGCCCAGAAGGATATGGTTCCTTATTCCCAAAAGGTTGTCCTGATAGCTAAAACATACCCATTAAAACACTCAGTAGGAACAAAGTTTTGGGGGAAACCGCAGGCTTTCTTGGCCACATCCAGAACAGACTGGTGCTTGGTTTTTAATTGAGACGGGACGTATAAAGTCTCATGGTAATACCCCCTTGTCCACGGTTCTTGCTTCAGACCTTTAATTACATCTTTCAGCTGTAATTTATTTATTTATGGCCATTTATTTCCCTTGGCACAGTGAGAACAAAAGGATGTTATAAAGAGTCTTGTGTGTATGCCACAAGAGTTCACGTTCATATCGCAGAGACTCATCAATGTCTGATTTGGACTAATAAAGAATCGCTTCGCCTGATCAGACTGAAAACGCTCCTGTTGACTTCATAATGACGTTTTCCAGGTCAAATTCCCACTGTCTAGATTGACTCGTGGCTTATTTGACATCACAATGGAAACTCAGATGAGATGTTAAGACTAGCGGAGGGGATGAAACCCAGTCGGACCTTCTGACAGGAGTTTGATCCTCTGCTTCTTGTTTTTTATGGAACACGTGTCTCAAAACCACATTTTTCAGTGTCGTCTCAATATCAGGTGCTCCTATGGTTCACGACTATATTCAACATGTTTAAACACCTCGTTTAAGTCCAACTTCTGTTCCACAATGACTACAAGAATAAACCGCGCTGTCTGCGTAGTTTTAGCACCTGATTCACTAAAGAAATGATACTGGAAATTATCAGTATTTTCATGGATGACTACGCTCTATACAGAAAACCATAAGGTTATTATGCACAATGATAAAAAAGGTTACACTTTATTTTGATGGTCCACTTTAGACATTCTACTAACTGTATAAGTAACTTTGCAACTACATGTGAACTAACTCTGATTAAAATATTATTAAGACTGTCTGCTTAATTAACTGCTAACACTTTATTTTGATGGTCCCCCATGAATAGTAACTACATGTCAACTAACAGTCTATTAATTACATGTTTCTAACAGTCTATTAATACTCTAATGAGAGTTAGTTAACATGTAGTTGCAAAGTTACTTATAGTTAGTGGAATGTCTAAAGTGGACCATCAAAATAAAGTGTAACCAAAAATAAGTATCCAATTTAAAACAAAAAATATAATATAAAACAAAAAAATGTTTCTGATATCCTCAGCCATCCACAAATAACTGTATATTAGGTTTTAGTTAGACAAAAATACTAAGACATAGCACGTGAATGTTTAGGTTTTGACGTCACTATCAGAGATTTTTATTTTTATTTCAAAATCTTGTGAATTCTTGCATTCCCAGTTTATTGATTTTATTGATTATTTGTATAATAAACTGATTTTTGAGAGTTATTGCATTGCTGTGCATGTGAGCTCACTTACAATCGTCTAACATCTAACTGAACTGCAGGGTTTTAGTTAGTGTGGCAGTCTTTATCATAAAAGAATGAACCGATTCCCCTCTTTCTGTGAGCGCAGGATGAGTTTCAGTGCCGTCCACCCTCGCTGGCATGCGAGCTCTGGGTGTTCAGGCTGAAGCACATTTCTGGGATCCTCCTACTCACCTCCAGCCGTTCCTGCTTGACTTCATCCACCTCCTCTTCCTCCACCAGAGACAAAAATTCCCCCGTCTGGTCGATGGAGACCAGGAAGTCCTGCGCCAGACGCTGCCTCTTGTTGCTGCTGTATTTGTCTGTAAGAGGACAGAAACAGGCACATTTGCTGACTCTCCGTCCTGAACACATCTGCGGGCCAGCTGGGCTTGTTTACACCTGACTCGAGATGCAGCGGCCCACTCGACTATAGTGCTTTCTGTTCTGAGTCATCTCGGCTCAGAAGCAAGCCAGACCTCTGAAAGCCAAAGCCTTGTAACTCTTAAAAATATAGGAAAAAAGTTTTTTGAAATCTGCTATAGAACAAAAGTATACACACTGTTTGAATAAGGAAAAATAGGTGAACATTATCATCAGAGGGATCTGTGGATTGCTGTTTAGTCAGTCAGAGTTCAAATTAATGGATTTGAATGATTTGTTGGATATTATAGATGTAACGGTTACCAGCTGGAGTGCCCTTGAGAGCCACCAGAGGGGACTCCACATCAGACTCTCACGTTCACTCACAGACTACATTTCCCATAACTCACTGCCCGGACTCATCACTGATCACAATCACCTGTACCTCATTCTCTGATTGCATTCACCTGTGTGTCATCATCCTGTTAGTCTCAGTCCATATATACCATGCTCATTCATTCACTCACCGCGAAGTCTTGTTTTGCTGCTGCGAACATTTCCAAGCGTTTTCCCATGTATATTCCTGCCTGTTTTGACCTTGTCTGTTCCTGATCTTCTGCCTGGTTCCTGTATCCTTCCTGTTTGCTGCCTGCCCTGATATCCTGCCTGTTTACTGACCACGATTTTGCCTGATCTTCTCTGCTGTGTTTGCTGGTGTTTGACCCTTGCCTGGTGACTACTCTGTTAAATAAAGGACAAGCTGCACTTGGATCTGAACGTCTCCTATGCTTCGTAACAGAAGACTTCGCCACACCGAGATCCAGCAGCGATGCCAACTATGAGTCCAGACGTCCAAATCATGCGTCTCCGTCAGGAGAATCGGTCCATTGAAGACTATGTCGCGGAGTTTATTGAACTGGCACATCTCACCTCCATGAACACAGAGTGCCAGATGATCTTTTTCCGAGGAGGACTATCTGAACCGCTCAGTTCATTCATGCCCTTGCATGACCCTCACGGGACATTAGAGAGCTATATTGAACTGGCCCTTCTGTTAAGCGGTTCAGTGTATACGGTGGGTGTGGTAGATGAGGAACTCCGTGAACCCACAGTATCCCCTCAGCCTGAGTTTCACGTCAGCCACGACGAGCCTGAGTTTCTCCACGTCACACCAACCATAAAGCCTGCCACCAGATCGGTCTATGGCCGCCCAGGACTGGTTTCCAGCGTGGCAGATTCCCCGCTGATGTCTGCACGTGGTGCCAAGAGGGCCATTGTTTCAGGGTCTCGTCCTGCCGAGACCGTCCAGCCAGAGTCTCATCCCGCAGAGACCGTCCCGCCAGAGACCGCCGAGCAAGAGACTGAGCTTCACGTCACTTCTGCCGATCCAGAGACTGAGCTTCACGTCACTTCTGCCGATCCAGAGACTGAGCTTCACGTCATTTCTGCCGATCCAGAGACTGAGCTTCACGTCACTTCTGCCGATCCAGAGACTGAGCTTCACGTCACTTCTGCCGATCCAGAGACTGAGCTTCACGTCACTTCTGCCGATCCAGAGACTGAGCTTCACGTCACTTCTGCCGATCCAGAGACTGAGCTTCACGTCACTTCTGCCGATCCAGAGACTGAGCTTCACGTCACTTCTGCCGATCCAGAGACTGAGCTTCACGTCACTTCTGCCGATCCAGAGACTGAGCTTCACGTCACTTCTGCCGATCCAGAGACTGAGCTTCACGTCACTTCTGCCGATCCAGAGACTGAGCTTCACGTCACTTCTGCCGATCCAGCGACTGAGCTTCACATCACTTCTGCCAATCTTGATCCTGATCCTGAGCCTGATCCTGATCCTGTGTCTTCAGACAAGATGGCCGACTCCACGCCTGTGTCTTCGGACAAGATGGCCGACTCCACGCCAGTGTCTACGGACAAGATGGCCGCCTCCGAGCCAGTGTCTACGGACAAGATGGCCGCCTCCGAGCCAGTGTCTACGGACAAGATGGCCGCCTCCGAGCCAGTGTCTACGGACAAGATGGCCGTCGTCACAGAGTCTGTTCCTGTTCCTGAGCCAGAGCCAGAGTCTGTTCCAGTTCCTGAGCCGGTGTCTGTTCCTCAGCCGGTGCCTGTTCCTGCGCCGTGGCCGCCCGAGGGGTCTTCACTGCCGTGGCCGCCCGAGGGGTCTTCACCGCCGTGGCCGCCCGAGGGGTCTTCACCGCCGTGGCCGCCCGAGGGGTCTTCACCGCCGTGGCCGCCCGAGGGGTCTTCACCGCCGTGGCCGCCCGAGGGGTCTTCACCGCCGTGGCCGCCCGAGGGGTCTTCACCGCCGTGGCCGCCCAAAGGGTCTTCACCGCCCGAAGGGTCTTCACCGCTGTGGCCGCCCGAAGGGTCTTCACCGCCTGGGCCGCCCGATGGACTGTCTGCTCCGCCCTGGCCGCCCGATGGACTGTCTGCTCCGCCCTGGTCGCCTGCACAGCCTGCTCTGCCCTGGTCGCCTGCACAGCCTGCTCTGCCCTGGTCGCCTGCACAGCCTGCTCCGCCCTGGTCGCCTGCACAGCCTGCTCCGCCCTGGTCGCCTGCACAGCCTGCTCCGCCCTGGTCGCCTGCACAGCCTGCTCCGCCCTGGTCGCCTGCACAGCCTGCTCCGCCCTGGTCGCCTGCACTGCCTGCTCCGCCCTGGTCTCCAGTCTTGCCGCAGTCTCCAGGTCCTCTTCCGCTCCATGGGCCTGGCCCTCCATCCCGCCCCCAGGTCCGCCTCCGCTCCACCTCCCTCCTGGACAATTTGAGGAGCGTCTGGAATCCGCTCCTTAAAGGGGGGGCTATGTAACGGTTACCAGCTGGAGTGCCCTTGAGAGCCACCAGAGGGGACTCCACATCAGACTCTCACGTTCACTCACAGACTACATTTCCCATAACTCACTGCCCGGACTCATCACTGATCACAATCACCTGTACCTCATTCTCTGATTGCATTCACCTGTGTGTCATCATCCTGTTAGTCTCAGTCCATATATACCATGCTCATTCATTCACTCACCGCGAAGTCTTGTTTTGCTGCTGCGAACATTTCCAAGCGTTTTCCCATGTATATTCCTGCCTGTTTTGACCTTGTCTGTTCCTGATCTTCTGCCTGGTTCCTGTATCCTTCCTGTTTGCTGCCTGCCCTGATATCCTGCCTGTTTACTGACCACGATTTTGCCTGATCTTCTCTGCTGTGTTTGCTGGTGTTTGACCCTTGCCTGGTGACTACTCTGTTAAATAAAGGACAAGCTGCACTTGGATCTGAACGTCTCCTATGCTTCGTAACAATAGAAAAAAGGGAAAAAAAAACGTTCTTTACAAAATAGTGCTCTTAAAAGGTTTATTCTTTGCCATAATCGATCACAATCCTAGCCTGGTTAAAACCAGACCATTCTCATTTGTAACTGAGTTATGGTCTGGCAAAGCGTCATAGACAAATCATTTCCAGAGTGGCGTCACCAACGGACGTCGCGTATAGACCTAAACCCAATCAGAGCGATGAAGGAGATGACATATGCAGAGCGGCGGAGAAACATCTCCGAGTGTTGTTCTTTGCTCGGTTTTTAACTAAAAGGAAACGTTTAAATCGCTTAAAACAGACGCGATAGCTGATTCGAACGAGTGATGTTCGACGGCGGCATCCATCTTTGTAATGTAGGCTACAAAATCTGCTTCAAAATCCCAGCGCTGTCGTCATCGCGTAAAGCCCGCCCCAACGTTTCTGATTGGTGCCGCGATTTCGGCGGATTGGAAATGAGCTTGAATGAGCTCTTTGCCAGACTAACTTTCAGAGCAAATCTAAATTTGCCGGAAGTTGTCTGGGTTTTCCCAGGCTATCACAATCCCTTTCAGATAGTAAAAATGTGATTGTGGCGAGCAGGACGAGGCCGAGGGACGTGAGGGACGAGGGGCGTTTGATAATGAAAGACACCTGTGAGACGCACCGGTCTCGCATCTCTCACGTCCCTCGGCCTCGTCCTGTTCGCCACAATGATGATCTAAATTGATCCGATATTGGCTGATAATTATCCATATACTGTATGACTGATATAGTTCCAATATATTGTGCATCCCCAGGTAAATGCTTGCAAGTAGTTTTGTTGGAAAAATAACTTATGCATTCATATAAAAGTATATTTTTTTATAAAACAAATGTTTTACCAATATACATAATTTATATATATATATATATATATATATATATATATATATATATATATATATATATATATATATATATATATATATATATATATAAAAATTAAAAAAGTATATACAGTCGTGCTCAGAATTAATGGTACCCCTGGTAAATATGTTCAAAACTGGCTGTAAAAAATAAATCTGCATCGTTTATCCTTTTGATCTTTTATTAAAAAAATTGCCAAAAATCTAACCTTAAATTGAAGTAAAAGAATTGAAAGTGGGGGGGAAATCACATTATGAAATAAATGTTTTTCTCCAAAACACGCTGGCCACAATTATTGGTACCCCTAGAATTTTTTACTAGTAAAATATCTCTGAAGCACATTCCCATTAATGATTACCTTTGTTAGCACACCAGGAGGACTAGGAACATGAAATTGTCTAGCCAGAAGTTCCAATCAACTAAATATGTCACGAATCTGCCAGGAAGATGACGTGTGTCTATATTGCCTTAATGGATGGTGAGGATGAAAGTTTAAGTGGCCAAAGACTCTTCAATGGTCACAGATGGAGAATCACAGAGATTAGTTAATTAGTTGGTCAGAAAGCCTATAAAAAAAATCAACAACCCCTACATCACCACATGTTGTTTGGGAGTGTTTCAAGAAAAATCTTCCTCGCTCATCCAAGAACAAACTCCAGCAAATTCAGTTGTCAGACACGACTGGTACTTCAAACGGCACAGGGTTCTGTGGTCAGATCATCAGATGAAACTAAAAAAAGAGCTTTTTGGCAGTAAACACGCTAGATGGGTTTGGTGCATACAAGGATAAAAAGTACCCCATGTGTACAATTTCATATACCGTTGGATCTTTAATGTTGTGGGCCTATTTTTCTGCTGGAGGTCCTGGACTTCTTGTTCAGATACATGGCATTGTCGATTCTATCAAATATCAACAGATAAAAAATCAAAACCAGACACCTTCTGGTAGAAATCTTATAATGGGCCGTGGTTGGATCTTCCATCAGGACAGTGATCCAAAACAAACATCAAAATCAACACAAAAATTTGTTAAGGAGCACAAAATGAAGCTTCTGCCATGACCGTCCCAGTTCCCTGACCTGATGAGTGGAGTGAACTGAAGAGAAAAAGCACCAACATGGATCTGGGAATCTGAAGGATCTGGAGAGATTCTGTATGGAGGAATGGTCTCTGATCTCTTGTCAGTTGTTCTCCAAACTCATCAGGCATTATCGGAGAAGACTCAGAGCTGTTATCTTGGCAAAAGGAGATTGCAAAAAGTATTTAATAAAAGGGTGCCAATAATTGTGGCCAACGTGTTTTGGAGTAAAACATTTATTTCATAATGTGATTTCCCCCCCCCCCCCCCCACTTTCAATTCTTTTACTTCAATTTAAGGTTAGATTTTTGGCAATTTTTTGAATGAAAGATCAAAAGGATAAACAATGCAGATTTATTTTTTAGAGCCAGTTTTGATCATATTTACCAGGGGTACCATTAATTCTGAGCACGACTGTGTATATACAGGTAGATATACCTGTATATACACAGTCGTGCTCAGAATTAATGGTACCCCTGGTAAATATGATCAAAACTGGCTCTAAAAAATAAATCTATATATATATATAGATTTATATATATATATATATATATATATATATCAAAGAATACTGAAAAACTGACCAGAACTGAACTGTTTTCAATATTGACAATAAAAAAAAAAATCTTGAGCATCAATTCATCATATTAAAATGATTTCTGAAGTGTCATGTGACACTGAAGACTGGAGTAATGATGTTGAAAATACAGCTTTGCATCACAGGAAAAAATGACATTTTAAAATATTTTTTAATAGAAAAAAGTTATTTTAAAATTGTAATAATATTTCACAATATTATAGTTTTTTTTTTTTTATCAAATAAATGCAGCCTTGGTGAGCAGAAGAGACTTCTTTTAAAAACATAAAAAATCGTACCGATCCCAAACTTTTGAACGGCAGTGTGTATACACTACAGTATATTGCCAAAAGTATTAGGACACCTCTCTAAATAATTTAATTCAGGTGTTCCAATCACTTCCATGACCACAGTTGCATAAAATCAAGCACCTAGGCATGCAGACTGCTTCTACAAACATTTGTGAAAGAATGGGTTGCTCTCAACAGCTCAGTGAATTCAAGAGTGGGACCGTAATAGGTTGCCACCTGTGCAAAAAGTCCATTCGTGAAATTTCCTCACTACGAAATATTCCGCGGTCAACTGTTAGTGGTATTATAACAAAGTGGAAGCAATTGGGAACAACAGCCACTGACCATGTAAAATCACAGTCAGAGCATGCTGAGGCGCACAATGCGCAGAAGTCGACAACTTTCTGCAGAGTCAATAGCTACAGACTTCGTGTGGCCTTCAGATTAGCTCAAGAACAGTGCGTAGAGAGCTTCATGGAATGGGTTTCTATGGCCAAGCAGCTGCATCCAAGCCTTACATCACCAAGTGCAATGCAAAGCGTGGGATGCAGTGGTGCAAAGCACGCCGCCACTGGACTCTAGAGCAGTGGAGACGCATTCTCTGGAGTGACGAATCACGCTTCTCTGTTGGGCAATCCGATGGACGAATGTGCGTTTGGCGGTTGCCAGGAGAACAGTACTTGCCTAACTGCATTGTGCCAAGTGTAAAGTTTGGTGGAGGGGGGATTATGGTGTGGGGTTGTTTTTCAGGGGTTGGGCTTGGCCCCTTAGTTCCAGTGGAAGGAACTCTTAATGCTTCAGCATACCAAGACAATTTCATGCTCCCAACTTTGTGGGAACAGTTTGGGGATGGCCCCTTCCTGTTCCAACATGACTGCGCACCAAGTGCACAAAGCAAGGTCCATAAAGACATGGATGAGCGAGTTTGGGGTGGTGGAACTTGACTGGCCTGCAACTTCAACTCGATAGAACACCTTTGGGATGAATTAGAGCGGCGACTGCGAGCCAGGCCTTCTCGTCCAACATCAGTGCCTGACCTCACAAATGCGCTTCTAGAAGAATGGTCAAATATTCCCATAAACACACTCCTAAACCTTGTGGAAAGCCTTCCCAGAAGAGTTGAAGCTGTTATAGCTGCAAAAGATGGGCCAACTCCATATTAAACCCTACGTATTAAGAATGGGATAACATTAAGGTTCATGTGGATGTAAAGGCTGACATCCCAAAACTTTTGGCAATATATATATATAACAGATATATATATTTCATTTGTGTCACATGTTTTATTCACTATGTACATAATTCCCACAGCAGCATCATTTCAAGCTCTACCACAGCGAACGACTTTCACTTTTTCCAGCATGTTCATGTGGTTCAGCGTCAGTGGGCATTACAGGCATAAAGCTCCAGGGTGGGAAAATGAAAAAAGAAGGAAAATGTTAATTAAATGAAAGGAAATACACTGATTAAACACACTTCTGTGAAGTAACGTCTGGTTGTGAATGACAGAAATAGCCCCAGAAAATGTTTAATCAAGGTTACTGAATTTATGACACCTAAATAACAGCTTGTTTTATGGGCTTCAGGTTCGCTGGTCCTGGCACGGCACAACCTTGAACAGACTGTAATTGTGGAGTTCCTCTGTAAACGGGGCAATTCAATCAAACAGTAAAAAAGTCACTTTGTATAAACTCACTTTTTAAATGATACAAATATGTCGACGCACATAATTAGTAGAATCCTTAATTTGATATTTGATACAATATTTGGATGAATAAAAGGCCTTGAGAAATCTTGGCTTTGACGAATAGTTAATCTAATAATGATGGAATGGTGCATTAAAATATAATTAAATAAACACTAGTAAAAACATATTTGATCTAGTGGATTCATCCTTCAAAATTAAGAAGTACAAGTAAAAAATGGCTTTTTAAATGTGACTGTAACAGGGTGAGCAGAAGTGTTTCGAACACAGCAGATCAAAAGATAAAACTGTGAATAAAAATACATAAAGCTTTTCATATCACGCATTTTTTACTTGACTTACCCACCTTAATTTAACTGAGCGTATGTTTACAGAACAATATATCTAAATGTTTAAACACGACCAACCACTCAACCAACAGCGCTTGCAATTTACTTCCATAACTACTCATATTTCCAAGTGAAACAGGATATTCAACTCGAAAAAATAGGCGAGACCTAATATTTTACACAGAGAATTAAAAAAAAAAAAAAAAACGGTCAGAAGTGTTCAACTGGACAATTAGGTAATCTAATAATGATGAAATGGTGCATTTAAATCTAACTAAATAAATACATTTAACTGAGCGTCTGTTTACAGAGCAATGCGTCTAAATGTCTAAACACGACCAACCACTCAACCAACAGAGCCTGCCACCATATTTACTTCCGTAACTATGAATATTTCCGAAACAGGATATTCAGTGGGGGAAAAAAACATGCAAGACCATTTTTTTTACACTGAGAATTGAACACATGGTGAAAGGTGTCTCTAAACGGAAAATAAAAGGGAAATCATTTCAGATTTTAACATGCACTGCTCACAATAAGATCATGTTGGAACACATAGTAAAAAAATAAACAGGATTTCACAATGACAATCTCACGCTACACTATATCTCACCCCAAATCTGCTGAGCAACCTAAAAAAAGACAATAGCGGTTGAACAGAAGTTCCTCATTTGCAGTGTAGTTTTGTTGTAGGGGTCACTGCAAGAACACTGTATTGCATGGAAAGATATCAAAACCCAACTGCTCTACGTTGCCCTCTTTTGCAACCCTCCGAACACACCACACCAGAGTAAAACCACGTCCTAACACAGGCCGGCTCCCACCGCAGGCCTCCCAGGACAGAAAGAGGCTGTTCTCTCCTCACACTGAAACAATTCCCTCTTATATTTTATATCGCATCCAATAACACAGATAATAGTCAGGGAACAATAACCTCCCGATTGAAAGCGTCACGGATAGGGTCACGAAACTCTCAGAGGTAAAACAACACGCAAGAAGAGCCACACGTCAAAAAGAGGGAGCCATGGAAAAGCATCTGCGTTCAGACACAGAGACTCTCGGAACGCTGCATTTCCATGTTCTTCCATCTCTCAAGTTACACTCTAGATGAGGAGCAAGAGTCCTAATGATACTCCGCATGACATTACACGGGGCGTCCGCTGCTTCTGCGGATGGTTTTCCTCCCTCGTGCTCAGTTTTCGGTGGTATTGATGAGGGCGGTGGAGCGCTGTTCAAAGCAGATTGATGCCAAAGCTTCTGTCTGCATTTTGGTTAATGACTCTCGCTGATTGACTGTGGCGTACGAAATGACCTCGCTCGACTCTGCTCATTATGCACGGCTTCGTCGTTTAAGGCAACGGCCGTTGATGGGGGGAAAATGTTTTGAATATCTTATGGAGAAAATCATTCGAAAGGAAAACATGCTAAGCTGCAATATATATGAAAGCACCATAGGTTAACTTGGGTTGGGAGTCGCAAACTGGTTCTCATTCAGAAATGGTTCCATTTTTAACCGAGTCATTTGAATTCTTCCAAAATAAAACATGCTGTGATGGTGATCTTATTTTCTCTCAGCAATACACGTGATTTAACATTAAAGTGCATGATTCATTGTTTGTTGTTATCAAAAAGTCAGGTTTAAAATATTTGTAAAAAATTAGCGGATGAATCAGAAAATGCTACACATCTCATACCTGAATCCAGCGGCTCCTCATCGTCGATGGTTTTTAGGACTTTGGATTTGTAGTCTCTGAACTGCATGTACTTGATGAGCCGCTGTAATTTTTTCTTAGAGAATAAAACAAAGAAGAAAGAAAGAAACGGGCTCAATTTTTAAACTAAAACAATTTCCATCCATCATCTCACGGTGATCTTTGAGTTCTTTTTTCTCTAGAACATTCAAGAAATTCAATTCTTTCTAGCTGGGTGATACATTCACAATTTTGCTGGAAATACTGAATTAATCAGCATTTTGAATATCAAAATATGGCAAAAATGAATAAAAATGCTAAGTTGGATTAATTTCTGTGAATCAGTTCAGATTGTCTATTTCAATGAATCAAATCAAACTTCCTGTGCACAACCATTCAAGCAAGTTCATCATGTACATTTTATTCAAATGTTTTGTAAAATATCCAGTGAAAAACCTTTATTTGATTGATTGATTCATTATATTTATAAATGCTTGTGTTTTAGTTTCTGCATTAAACTTATTGAATCTACTTGCCTAATTCACTGAAATCACATACATAACAAAACATGGGGTTAGAAAAGATGTTTTATTATATCACCCAGCCCCGATTCTTGCTTTCAACCTGTGATTGTAAAGCAACAGAACTACAAAAGCAATAACCAAACCAGTAGTCCATAAAAAGGAAGGGTAATGATTTATGTTGCGGTAATGTCTCATATTTGTGTGCTTTTACCTTGTCTTTCCTCATTAGAAAGATGATATCCTCTGGTGAAATGACCCTGGCCCCTCTCAGGAGGGCCACTTCAGCGGCCTGATGGAGCTGAGGGAGGAAAGAAAGGCAATTCAATCAGCAAAGAAACAATCAGCGCTCGCTAACATCTACCGAAATATGTTTTTAAAATCAGCGCGTTCTAGGCAACTGACTCACTGCATGTGCAGTCTAAAGACCTTGAGGAAACTGATAAGGGCTTTTATTTTGAGAGCAGGATTTATGGCGTGATGTGAGCTTCAGGTATTGTGCAAGAACGTATGACTATTTCACTCAAATGTGACAGAAAATGTCCTTGTCTGCAATGTAAACAGAGAGAAATGCATCAAAACAACGGATAAAAATGAGCAGACCACAGCAAAATACCACGTGATGGTGGTCTGGATATGGAAACAGGATAAACAGCCTAGAAATAGGATTAATAACTTGTAGCAGTGTTTTTAACAGTTGTTTTATGTGTCCTGGTTAATGTAAAGATTAAAAAGACATAATCATCTCGACCTTTTTATCAGCCAGTGCATGAGAGGTTTACAGAGGAATGTCTAAATCACATGGAAATAAATCTTTAAGCTTGAGAAGGTCAAAAAAACCTGTAATGAAATATGTCTGGTGAAGTGCTATAATTTCACTTTGTTGCCAAAAGAGGAAAAACAGCTCATCCATCATGGTGGAAATGATAGCTGTTCTTATGTAAATCAACATATCCCATGAATGCTCTAGAATTATGGCAAATCTCATGGAAGGACTGTAGTGTTAACTTACTGATATTTTTAAACCCGTTCTTACAAAAGGATAAAAAAAAAGAAAAGGAGGATTGAGTTTAACAAAACTATTCTTTGTGAAACTGCTTTGGAACTGTATATGCTATATAAATATACTGAACTGAACTGAATTAAACCACAAATAATGATCTGTGACGTATGTAATAATAAACACAGAAAAAGAGCAAGATTTGATTACTTGTGCACCTGGCTTCCTTAGTTAAAAAGTTGATTTCATGTTGAGGACGCACTTATATATGAGAATAAAATACAATCTGAAAAATGTAAAACAAATACCATCAAAGTAGGGTTGTGCAATGATTAATTGCGATTAATCGCATCCAAAATAAAAGTTTGTGTACTTACAATATTTTCATAATATAAATATTTTCATGATTTGTAATCACAACATGTTTTCTTTTGTCAAATCAACTTAGATAATTTATGTGGTTCAGATAATATTTTGAGTTTCTGATGATTAAATAAATCTCCATTGTATTAACTCAATTTTTCAATTTCAATGAACTTGACATTTTAAGGCAACCAGATTACTTAATTTTTTAAGTTAAACCAACAATATTTTTTTACAGTGCATAGTACCTTACATAATATATGTGTGTGTTTTTGTATATATAAATACACACACATGCACTTGAGAAATATTTGCATGTATATACTGTAGATATATTTATATATCCATATATTTATATTATATAAATAACACGTTTCTTAAATATATACATGCATGTGTGTGTACTTATACAAAATAATTATACACAGTACACACACATATATATGTAAAACACAAACTTTTATTTTGGATGTGATTAATCATGATTAATCGCAATTAATTGTTGCACAGCCCTACTTTAAAGAATAAAATAACTTAAAAGATGACATTAGGCATCAAAACATATCTGGATGAATCTCACAAAAACATGAAGCCTATTTAAAGCACTGTTAAGACTTTTTTCCATTTAAAAAATCCAATTGTGATTGATCATTTATAGGATTTAAATGCTTTGGTTTATATTTGAAAATGTGCTTAACTGCACCTTAAAAGGTTCATTCCCTTTTAATTTGGAGAAATAAGTGAGATCCACCTATTTGGACTTGAACTAAATACAACTTTTTTCTTTTTCTTTTCTTATCATTTTAAATTTAAACTGAAAAGGCAATGGAAAAAACCTATCGACATGCTATCCTCAATAAAGAGCTCTTGTTGGTAAAGCCACTGAAGGGCCCTTGAAATATCCTCGACTCTGGAGTGTGGGGCCAATTAAACTCACAGAACTGACTACAACTCGTCCAAAAAAGAAAAAGATGCTATTCTTCATGAAGAGGTAAAAACTTAATCCACCTTGAGTCCTGGAATACACACAAGCAATTCTCAGCGTCTGTAAACATTTGCTGGTCATAAATATATTTGCTCGCGAGCGTACATGCAAGCGTGAAGTCTGCGAGCAGAACGGACCCCACACATGCACACACAGGGGGAGCATTTACCGCCCCGCGCCAGAAGAGTTTAATATAGATCTCTCTGGCCTGGCATCACACCAAGGTTGACATACCGACTGCCATGTCTGTCCCACCGTTTCACAGAGGAATAGTTTTTAATAGACAAAAATGGCCGTAAGTATGCTAAATCTCATCCCTCACTCTCCGCACGCATCCGAGCCAAAATTCCCATCATCCTCGGAAAACCAGAACCCCTTTCCCGAGGAGTTATATTTATAAAGGACAGTATTCTGATATACTCTGGATTTTGACTCGTACATTAACTTGTATGACCTATTCGACTTAATCTGCACTACAAAACCAGGAGTAAAAACGCATTTTAATAATCATTTATTTCCCTAAATGCACACAAATCCACTTTTAAGGAAAGGCTTTCATTGAGTTTGGCCCAAAGTAAAAAAAAAAAAAAAAAAAAAAAAAAACATGATCCCTTAAAAGTATGGCTCTTTTCAAGCTTAAGGAAGGTTTTTCCGTACCATTTGCAATTCCTGGCTCATAAAACGGTCTTCTGCAAAATATCAGATTAATTTTAGTAATTGCTCTAATTTTACAGGTTGATCAAAGCCGTGAGGCTAAATGAAGTCGCTCCGGTTATTCCATTCGGGATGGCTCAGAGACTCCACGAACACTGGGATCTCTGTGGACTTTTTCCAGGCTGTTGACAGTTTACTCGAGCGGCGAAGGACTGTTTTACCATTTCTGAAATGCCTGAGTTATCATACTACAGAGGTATTCATAAGATTGAGGGTGTTTTTACCCATCTCGATATTATCGTTTATGGTTTCGCTGAAAACACAGAAGGCTGAATCTGATATGTAAACACAGTAGTGGAGGGAGGGACCAATGATGGTTTGATTGACAGCTGGCCCTGTTTCTAACCCATGCTGAAAAACACTAACTAAAATCGGTAACACTATACAATAAGGTTCATTAGTTAACATTAGTTTATGTATTTACTAACATGAACTAACAATGAGCAATACATTTGTTACAGTATTTATTCATGTTTGTTAATGTTAGTTAATAAAAATACAGCTGTTCATTGTTTGTTCATCTCAGTTCACAGTGCATTAACTAATGTTAACAAATACAACCTTTGATTTTAATAACGTATTAGTAAATGTTGAAATGAATATTAACTAAGATTAATAAATGCTGAAGAAGTATTGTTCAGTCTTAGTTCATGTTAACTAAGGTAGATAACTAATGTTAACTAATGAAACTTATTGTAAAGCGTTACCCTCAAGTCAAATCTATTGATATTCTTGTGGGCAAAATCAAAGTTTGTTATCATTACGTCACCCAAATGTACGGTAAGTGATTTTCAATCGCTGGACGGGAACAATTTCAACACTCAAACAAAATGTTTCAAAAGAGAAACTTATAATACAAAGGTGAGTAAATGAAGATCAGCCCAGAAATATGATGCATCTTTATGCTACAGTACACAAAACCCCCGAAAACTTGAAAAAAAATCAGTCTTGCATATAAGAGCAGTAACACTGAAATAGCTCAACACGACGATGCATTCAGTGCCAATGACTTCAGAGACAGATGCCTGGCACACAAGCACACAAGTCTTGTTCCTTAATTAGACAGATCAATTTTAATTACAACACGTTTCCAAGCGACACTGGCCTCGGCGGGTCTCTGGTTCATGTCACGTTACAGTGCAGAGCTTTCATGCAACAGAATGGCAGAAGTCAAATAAACAAGCCTGCTGAAGATAATTTCCTCTCCTCTGCTACTGCGGCGCTCTGAAACCAAATCCATTATTTGATTACACTGGGAAAAGGTAACAGGAAGACCGGGGAGAATTCCACTCACAGCGTCCTTGTAAAGATCAATTACACCATTTCCTTTTGAAAGACGACAAAATAAAACAAGCGCCGATATTTTCAGAACTCACCTATACCAGACGGGCAGATTTTAGGTTGCTTAAGCTGGAAAGCTCACTCGCGGCTTGATCAAATCACCTGGAAATCGAACGTGATGGCTGAAAACTTCATTATACTTTCAACACAAACCGGGCCACTGGTTACGGTGGAGTTTCAAAGGAACATTGCGATGTTTTAAAAGTAAGTGACATGGATAATCACACAACACCTGTCAAAAACACTCTTGGGTCATCAAGAATTAAGAGAGTGAAATAAGAAAATATATTTTGAATAAAGAATATATTATTTTATGACGATTAAGAACATTTCCCCCATATTTAAAAAAAATGCAACATTTAATGTAGTTAATGTTGATATATATATATATATATAAATGAGAATAAAGAAGGGAATATGCTTAAAAGTCTATAAAATGTCAACGCAAAAAATATATATTATATTATATTATATTCAGTAAATAGGGGTGTTATTTTAGTTTCACTGATATACTAGGTTTTGTTCATTTTATTTTATTTTATTAATTTTAAAATTATCTATAATTTTATTTAAATTTTAGTTAAAATGTTTAGTAATTTTGTAGTTTTTGTCATTTCAAAAAATTTCAAAATAGTTTTATTCATTTGTATTTATTAGTTTTATTTTTTTAATTTGTTATTTTAGTATTTCAAGTTGAAATGAGACAATAATGAGAAATGTTGCCTTTACAACTAGCTGATTTTAAACAAGTTATGTTTTTTTCTTTCAGTTAATGTTTATTTTGTTTCAAGTAATGTTTTTTTTTTCTTTACAGTTTTAGTTAACAATAATAATCCTGGTGAATATCCCTAATAAAGAGTCCTAAAAAATGTATATTATTTACTCTAACATCTAATCA